GTGAGCAGAATTTTCCAGCATTTGAAGATCTGAATAATGTAGAGATAACTAATCACGTTATTTTTTTCCAGCATGCATATTTCTGATGCAGAAAGATTCTTACTGAGAGAAAATAAAAACCAAACATGCTAAACTGCCTTTGTCTGGAAAATGCGATGGGAAAATGGAAAGGGAAAATGGTCCAGATTAATTGAAAAATTAATGATGAGGCCAGGAATAAAGTAACAAAACACAGTGTGATCTCTCTGTTAAAGGGGCAACTTGGCAAAGCTGGATTCTTGTACTGGCCATTCACTATTTAGTGGGTAAATTGGAACTTAAGCCTTTAGTTTCTCTGTCCCATCCTTTCATTATAAAAATAAGGACCTTTTGGTGACGACAACAGAAAGATTAATGAATCCGCAAAATTAATGTCAAAGACCAGGCAAATTGTATTTCATTAGAATAATTAACTTCTGTGGTTTTTAAAAAATATCTAATCCCAAGATGCTACATGATAAAATCAACCAAGGAACATACTCCAAGTCCAAAAAATAGACTTATATGAATCATAACAAGACTAACCATAAGGACTGAAACAAAAGGAAAACCAATAATACCAATTATTAGAATACCACATGATTTTTATACTTACATGAATAATTAAATAGTTTATAAGTTTCCTAGAAAAAGTGCTTATATTCAGGCTGATGCTAACTGGATTCACACCGTGAAAACCACATTAACTGTTGTCAGCAACTGTTCTGGTTAGTCGCAAAGTGGGCTAAGCCAGGGAGGCAGGGAGGAGGAGGTGGCAGTGAGCCAAGATCACATCACTTCACTCTAGCCTGGGTAATCAAGTAAACTCTGTCCAAATGAATGAATGAATGAATGAATGAATGAATGAAAAATAAAAACTGGGAAGGGGACTGCCAAAGTGGATTAAGAATAGCCACAATAGCACATGAGCTTACCGATCCTTTTATGGAAAAGACTGGGTCTTAGCATATGCAATATAAAATATGGCTTTAACCAGATTCAAAGTATTGAAAATTGTTCAAGCAAGCATTCTAAATCTCAACAAATAGCTACTTGAAATCAATGTGCCTTTTTACAATGCTCCCTGCAGGAAGTAACAGGGCTATACCTGCCTCCCACATGCTTTTTTGTTTTCCTTTCGTTTTTCACTTTTCAGAGCATTTGTATACAAAGATGTAACCACATCACAAAAAGTCAGCCTACAGCCTACTGAATTGATAAGGCCTCACCAAAATGCAGCAGATTTTTCTTCACTCAGTCTTAGCATTTGTAGAGACTGTAAATCAGAACTTTGAAATTGTATTTACTATTTTTTTGCTTCCCAACTGAACACCACTGTGACCTGCTGATCACGTCATCTTTTTTTTTTTCTTTTTGAGATGAAGTCTCACTCTGTTGCCCAGGCTGGAGTGCAGTGGCGCGATCTCGGCTCACTGCAACCTCCGCCTCCCAGGTTCAAGTGATTCTCCTGCCTCAGCAACCTGAGTAGCTGAGATTACAGGCATGCGCCACCATGCCCTGCTAGTTTTTGTAATCTTAGTAGAGACAGGTTTCTCTGTGTTGGCCTTGCTGGTCTCGAACTCCTGACCTCATGATCTGCCAGCCTCTGCCTCCCAAAGTGCTGGGATTAAAAGCATGAACCATGTCAGTCAGCCTTCTCTTCTTATTTGATTTATTTACATATTGCCTCAGTTATACAAAGAGATGCAATAGATAAGGCTACATGTAGCACCTCTGAATTCACCCATTCTGGTGACAAACCCTTGGAACTACTCACTATTGGTCGTTGGGGGACCCTTGAGTACAATTAATGCTTAGACTTTTAGAGAACTATTCAATCAACAACATATGGACTGCTTAATCTTCAGCCTCCCAAACAGCCCTCTGTGAACTGTTGTATTACACATGACACAACGTGATGGTTGTGATTTAGTGGAAAACACACTAAATGTGGAGTTCAACCAAACTGTGTTCCACTTTGACTTTATCTACATACTAAAGGAGAAACCTTGACAAAAGCTACCTGAGTTCCCAGCATTCCAGTTTTACGCCCCATTTCCTCTGTCTTGTCTAACAGAGCTAGATCACTGCAAACTGTCCATGGACAGAAACAAATCAAGAAATGAGTCATTAGTCCCTTGCCTCTTTCTAACAATGTGCTTCTTTTCATCTCATTCTTACACTTCATGCAGCCTCAAGGGTGTCACCTCACAGCCACCCTTCATGTTCACAGAACAACACCAGTGAAATAATGCACCCGAGCTATCATCACCTCTCACCTGGACAAGAGCAAAACCTCATACCTGTCCCCCTCCCTTTGTCCACAGTTGCTCCCAACAGTGCTTACTCCATGGAGTCATCACAGTAATCTTTTGAAAACGTTTCTGAGATGATGCCATTCTCCTCCTTAAAATCCCCCCAAAGACTTCCCCTCAGACACTCAGAGTGAAACTCGAAATTCTTGTTGAATTGACAAGGCTCCTCAAAGCCTCACCACCACCCGCCTTTCTGACCTTGCCTCTTACCATTCTCCTCTTCACCTCCACGTTTCAACCTTGCTGGTCTTCCTTCTGTTTCTCAAGTACACCAAGTGCTTTTTCAACGCATCCTGTGGCCTTTGCACACTCTGTTCTCTTCTGTGCATGTTCTTCTCTCTGTTCTCTACCTGGATGGCTTCTTTTCACATTCAGATTTCCGATCACTTCTTCCTTTCTGAAGAGTACCTTTCTGAAAGTACCCTTTCTGAAGTACTCTTTATCTAGCAAATGTCACTTTCTCAGCAGTGCCCTATTCATTTCCTTTGTAGTACTAATCAGAATCTCATTTTCTCTCCTAAATTTAGGTTCACCTTTCATTGTCTGTCTCTTCCCATTATAGCATACGCTCCAAGAGACAGGTCATCTGATGTATTCATTGCTCCATCCTTCATTTGTTGAAAAGTGCTTACACATAGGTAGGCTCTGGAAAAACACTTGGGAATATAAGGCCCTTTATAATTAACCCCAGGATGCCTCTTCTGTATCACCAACCACCTACCCCCTCTGTGTTCCAGCATCACCAACAAAGTCGATCCCTTGGATTGGAACATTTGTTTATTCTCCAGGACAATGCCTCTGCATTGCCTAATCTTGCATATCCATCTTTGGAGATGCGCTCCATCAGCATCTTCTCCCGAAAGCCTCGGCGACCTCTCTAAATTGTGTTATGTGGCCTTTCTCCATGATTGCATTACCTAAGGCATATCGTTGGTATTTGCTTACCAAGTACATTAGAATGCTTGTGTAGAGTTCTGTTTCTCCCCCACCATTGTATACTCTGCCAAAGACCAGAGACAAACTTAAAAAAAAAAACAAAAAAATTCTGTATTCACAATACCTATCTGGAAACCTTCCTGACACATAACAGATGCTAAAAAAAATGTAAGAAACATGTGGGAATGAGGGAATGGGGTCTCATAAATCAGCTAAAACAAGTAAAAGAATGAATCATATGAAAGTAGCAGGAAAAAGGCAGTGAGATCAGCTCTGGGCATTTCACTGAGTGTCTGCCTCTCATGAGCGTTCTTATGTGAGGATCTGTCCTATTCTAGAGTTGAGGACCTATGTAAATTATAAGCACACTTACAATATTTTATGCATTCAATGTATTTTTTTTTTTCATTTGTTTCTTAGTAGACCCCCAGTAGGTAGAGCAGCAGATGAGCTACAGATAAAATAAACAAGGCAGGGTCTATTGTCCAAAAATCAAACAACCATGGAAATGGCAAAAACTGATATCTATGCACAAGATTTTTTATATAAGCCATACATGTATATGGCTACATTTTGTTCCATCTCCCAGCTTGGAAGGAAATCATGGTGCATTCAGTACATATGCTGTAAGTTGAGGCATAAGTCCACTAAGCCTTTTACCTTTGTTGGATAGGTGGTCCAAGTTCAATTTATTTGTTTAATTGTTTTTCATCAACTTTTAAGTTCCAGGATGTACATGCAGGATATGCAGGTTTGTTACATAGTAAATGTGTGTCATGGTGGTTTGCTGCAGGCACCAACCCATCACAGAGGTATTAAGCCCAGCATCCATTTGCTGCTCTTCCTGATGCTCTCCCTTCCCCCAGCCCCCGACCGACCCCAGCATCTGTGTGTTGTTTGCCCCCACGCGTCCATGTGTTCTCATCTTGTTTAAATTTTTGACAGAGAATTTAATATTATGAGTTTCTGTCTCCCTGATGGAATTAGAAAAGATATAACACAATTTTCAAATGATAAAAATAGAAATGCCTAATAAAAATTAGAACTTTATTTCAGGCTAAATTAAATTAAGCAAATCACAGTCAATTCTGGAGGAGGCTTCACAGATTTTCCATTTCAGTAAGTCTTTAAATTGTTTTTCAGGTGCCCAAACATCTGAGATGTAAGGTATTTTTCAGAACACTACCAAACTTGAAACTTAAAATAACTAAGTGACACTTATATGTAGACATACAATAGCATACGCCAATTGCTTAAGACATCATTAATGTGTGTGTGTGTGTGTGTGTGTGTGTGTGTATTTCCATCTGCCCCCCACCCCTGAGAAAATGCAACTCCTTTATTTTGCCTACAAATGATTGGTTTTTCACTAAATCCCTCCTCCAAATATTAGCTAATCTAGGAGGCAGGTAACTAAATTAAGGATAATCTAGCAACCTTTCACTGAGATAGTCATACCACAGACCCTATAGGTAATGCTTGTTCTAAGAGTTCTTATCCAAGAAGCCATATGGGTATAGGAAGGAGCTCACCATGTCCTCACAGAAACTGTGGGTCAGGGGAGATCCTCAGGTACACACAGTGTATCCTCTGGATCCCTGGTGGTCCACGCCTGCAATGGCTACACCAGTTGATTCGATGGATTAGTGAATCATTAGAAAATGATTATTTTATTCACTAATCCATTGAATATACTGGTATAGGAAGTGGATTCGCAGTGCTCTGCCTCTGAACACCTTTGAGAAGTACTATGCAAGCACCTCCAGGAGTCCATGGTTCTGACTCTGAGTCCAGAAGTACTTCATATTTAGGGACCCTTAGTCTTCACTCCCTGCTTTCAAAACCTTCATGGGGTCATCTGGGTCTCCCAAATGATACATCCAAGCCCTGGGAAGACAGGATGCTGCTCCTTGCTCATTGTCCAACTGCTTTCCACAGATGGGCCAATAAAGACTTGGGGCATCAGCCAGCACGAAACTGCACTGGCTACAAGTAGGTGTTCTCCTAGAAACTTGAGGTTCCCACATGTATTTCAGAAAAAGCATGGTGCTGTCTGATTTCTTGCCAGGCTTTCACATACTGTTTTGGATTTTTAAAGTCTTTGTCACCTGCTTAGGCTCCTTATCGATGGGCGGTAGGGGGAGAAAGTTAAAAACCCTGGATCCTAATCTGTTTCTTTTTCTACCTTTTGTTTTCATCTTTATAAGAAATTTTAAAAATCAAATTTTAAAATCATGTGCATTAATAGTTCTGTTCTAATTGAAAACTTTATCATTATTCCAGTTTTATAGTTGAAGTTTATTCTTAATCCATTTTTCTAATGGAAAACCTTATCATATTTTTTTCAATGACAGAATGTATTTCACCAAAAAGTGTCAAATTTCTACATTATTACAATTTAAAAAATACTAATCTATCCAGCAACAAGATTTTACAGATGAGACACCAAAGAAAACTTGCAATTTTCCTAAAATCTTGATTCTGCTCCTTACAAAAATTCTAAGGGGTACTAATTTTTTTTTTTTTTGAGACAGAGTTTCTGTCTTGTTACCCAGGTTGGAGTGCAATGGCGTGATCCCAGCTCACCGCAACCTCTGCCTCCTGGGTTCAGGCAATTCCCCTGCCAGCCTCCTGAGTAGCTGGGATTATAGGCACGTGCCACCATGCCCAGCTAATTTTTTGTATTTGTAGTAAAGACGGGGTTTCACCATGTTGACCAGGATGGTCTCGATGTCTTGACCTCATGATCCACCCGCCTCGGCCTTCCAAAGTGCTGGGATTACAGGCGTGAGCCACCATGCCCGGGCGGGGCACTAATATTTAATCTGCTAAATTAAGAGCAGATAGTCATTTGAATAATGAGAATTAGTGATTGACTAAGCCATAGACAAATGTAAATTTTAAGAGCACATTGGGTCTGAACATCTCTACCTTATGACATTGGGTATCTGAGTTTGTATACTTTAAGATTATAACAAGTCCAGGAGTGAAAATTTATTCCCTTATTCACTCACGTTCATCCAACCAGCCACTCACTCACCCTTTCTTAATTCATTCAACAACATGTAATTATTCACCTACTATGTTTTGACCACAGTGCTGATAAACGTTTTGTGTTATTGAAGTATAAATTTAATAAAACATGGTCTTTTCTAATAAACAAAACTAGGGGAGCTAGAATATGCAATACATGTTTGTAAGGATGATAACTGAGATATTTAGAGAGTGCTGGGATCACAGAAAAGAGAGACGTTAGCTGGGACACCAGAAGAGGAACCACATAGGTGATAGCCTTATGAAAGGAACCTGCGAGGAAGTTTTTACTGAATGCGGAAAGCTATAGAACTCAAAGCAAGAGATAAAGGGTAGGGACACACACAAGAAATGGAGCCCTTTGTGTTTAGGTGTCCTTTTTCTTTAACTTGGAGTTTCTGATAATAGCCAGTAACTTTCTTTATATAGCAACTTCACTATTTAAAGAAAATAAATGACATGGGATGCTGGAAATAAGAAGCAGATAAAAAGTAGATAGATGACAAGAGTTCTGGATGCACGTGTTTGTTATGGCAGACTAGTTATGAAAACTTGGGTCAATTAGTCTCTCTGAGAATATACTTTTCCCCAGATCAAAAAGGTTTAAATTATAAGGTTAGAGAAATAATAACCATTACAATGATAGCATCTTAAACTATTCAAGGTTACTGTAAAGGTGTGCTTGAAGTTATTGACACATATTTTAAATTAATTAATTCTCACAATAACCCTATTATGTAGAGGCTCTTATTTTCTCCATATTCAAAATAATGATCAGTATCTGTCAATCTCAATATTTTAGACATAAACACTTGGTTGTGGGGCTGAGTGTTGCTAAAAACGCTATTTCATGAACCGGCCCCACTTCTAAGAAATTTTATTTTCCAGATCTGTGGTTATCTGCCTCACCTGCTCATCAGAATCACCTGGAAGTACTTTCAAACGTCTGAGGCATGGCCTCCACCCAGATAAATTCAAGAAGAATATCTGGGAGTTGGGTGGTTTCAGTTTATGTTTCTCCCCAAAGCGTTCTCACATGCAGCTGCGATGAAGAACCTTGCTTTAAATCTGCTCATCAAGACCCCAGATTTGTTCTGCTGAGCCATGGAACTCCCTTAATATGAGGAGCTCTAGATGAAGGAGGATGAGTTGCAGAGGTAAAGGTAATAAAGGCTGAGGAATGAATGGGGAAACCGGTTCTGAAGACTGGAAATTATAAAAAGGCTATGTGATTTGCAGATAAAGGACATTGAAGAGGTGAGGTTTTAGGTTGTTTATGTGAACATGTATTGCAAATTGAAGACAGGTTTATTTTTGTACATACCATGAATGAAATTCAAGTCATTAGAACCAAGGCTTAGCTATAAAGTTAAACAAAATCTTTGATAAAAACTAGAAACCCATCACTTTTAGATAGACCCAGTGGTGCCTAGAGGGAGAGGGAAGAAAGCTGAGAGTTCTGGGTAATAAAGCAACAGGAGGTAAGCTTGCATTTGGATCTTAATTAACATTTTTATTAAAAATCATGGGAAAAAGATTAAACAGAAATGAAAACAGAGGAAGAGAAACCTGCTGTTGATACTTAATCTTAAAGAGCTAAATACACAGATTAGAAGAACAAAACAATGCAAATTTAACTAAAAAACTTAAAATTAAAAAAAATAAAAGACATGATAATTTATTTAACCAAATAGAAAAAAATAAAAGGGTCCCATTTCTGTAGAAGTAATGACTGTAAAAATAAAGAAAAGTCAATAATTCCCTTGAGGGGGAAGAATATTATTATTTTAGCCCACTTCCACATTGTCTTCATTTTTTCTTGCCCTGAGCTACTTTGACTCTGAAAATGGAAAGAGCAGATACACATGTGAGTTTTAAAGTAATACATAGTCTTCATATTTATGTAGATTATGTTTAATGTTCCAAACTACCTTCTAAGATAGGCACTATTAGATCCTTTTTATAGAAAGCTCAGAGATGAAGCTGTAGGATGACACCTACTGAAGATCATGTGGAACCTGGGAAGATGGAATTCCAGTGCTTGTCAGTTCCAAAGCCTGAGCTAGCTCTACTTTAGTCATTCAGTAAGTTTGAACCTCAAGTTGAAAACTTGAGTTAAAATTTCAGCCCTTTGCCCAACCAATGTGTAGCAATAGACTTGCCACACTTAACTACCACACTCCCCACTTACTTGGGATTCAATTTTCTCAGGAGATTAATAAGACAGAGAATAACTAACTTCCAGGATTGCAGAGGTAATTGGATGGGATCAGGTCCATTAAATCACCTTTGTTCAACATTTTGTTATGAAATTTTCAAACATATAGCAAAGCTGAAAACATGATACAGAAAACATCCACATATCCAGAAACTGAAATCTATCATTTACCTGTTTTACTTGCTTTATGACATGTCTGTCCATCAGTTCATCACTCCATTCATCAATCCACATAATTTTTAATGTAGTTTCTAGTAACTGGCAGACATCGGTACACTTTCCGCTACATAACTGACGTTGCTCTTAAATTCAAAATGAACTTTAAAACTGCAAGGATCATTTCATATAATTGTACAAGTACATACAATATATGCATAGCATTATACTTTTTGTATAAGTACAATAGTATTATACAATAGTATTTACTACTGTACCATACTATTATACTATTTTATAAATGCACATACAATATGTACTTGGTATTATATTTATTGTATAAGTACAATAGTATTATAGAAGGCTATTGTACTATTGGACAAGTACAATACACAATATATATATGATAGTATACTTGCTGTATGCATACTATAGTAGTGTAGCATAGTATATAGTATATATAATATCCTATTTATAAATATATATATTGTATAATATAATGTATATATTGTATTTTATGTGTTCATATATTTTACTTATAAAACATTAACATCATAGAATATGAACATATATATCCACATCTATATTCAAATATATATGAAGGATAAATGTATAACTATAATATATAGATAAATACATCTATTTACCTTTCATTCATATATAAATTTAATTCGATTTTGTCAGTGAATCCAGAGATTATCTTTATTTCAGTGAATTGTCGCAAAAAAACAGAAAAAGAAGAGACCCACCACGTCTTAAAGACAGCAGAATAGAATAGACCAGTGCCTCTAGGTTCATTGAGAAAATTGAAGCTACTTGCATCAGAAAGGTGGAAAGCTAGTGGATCTTAAGGAGGCAATGGTGTGATGTGAGCTCTTACTGCGGTTAGTGAGAAACGGTAATCATTGCCACCGTCATCCACACACCACACAATCCTATCATCTGACTAAGGAAAAGAAAGTAAATATCACCTTCAAACATGCATATTTTAGCCTCCGTGGAGGTGCTAAAGAATGAAGTGAACAGTCACGAATTCGAGAGAAGTGCTCGGATTCACACATTGACATCTGGCTTGGCTCCATGCAGTTTTCACACAATGTGCAGCAAACTCCCCAGAAGCGTTCTGAGTGTTGACAGTGGCACCAGGAACGAAGCACGAAGCAAAATATTAACATTTCACACAGCAAGCAGGTCACACCATGTGAGTTTCGGGAACAAAGTGCCTCTATTTCCCCAGAGTTTACGCGGCTGACATGGCCTCCTGCTCAACTCATTACCAATGCTCTGATGACTTCTCCCCGAAGAATGAACTGACTTGTGTTGGCATTGAAAAGATGCTCAAAAGATCAAAACAATAAAATCAAGGGAAAACAGCCGCTGCAGATGTGAAACACTTCTGCAATGATGCCTGAACTGGTGGCGGCTCAAAGAGGTGTTACCCACAGAGAGTTCTGAGTGAATGTCGCCTTTTGCTGTGAGTGCCACGGCAACGGAGACAGATAAGACGGTGGTGAAACATATGCCAGATCTCAGGGATGGTTATATCTCTGGGAAGACTGGAGCTGCAGAAAAACTCAGAGGCTTCCTCTCCAGTCTCAGTGAGCTATCCAAATCATAGGTACCTTCTATAATGAGAAAATTTGCAAACAACATAAAATTACCTGGCCTCCTTTGAAATCACTGACTGACCTCCATGAAAAATTTGTTTTCTTTCCCTACGGTGGTTAACTAATCAGAAATTAAGTACCAGAAGAGACATTTGTTATAAATGTAGAATCCTAGACTTTCTTTTCTTGGCATATCTGACATATGTCCCTTGGTTTGCGAATACTATCTGTCAATGCCATTCTAGACCCATGCCAGTTAAATACTTTTGTCCCCCTTTTATAGGCGATAAGACTGAGGCTTACCTTGTTTAACAAGGTAAATCATCTTGTTTAATGTCATAACATGTAAAGGGACCGCATAGCGGACATAGCATTAACCATCAGAGCTGTCAAATACTAAACCTTGGACTTTTTCCTATGTTGTATGCAGTTGGGTGGAAAAAATTATTAATCATTATTTTTTATGTTCTAAAAACATGGGTTACATAGAAGATGGGTTTTACAGCAATTTTTTTCAAATTTTAACATGGGGAATTATATAAAATGCAGGCTTTGATTCACCAAGTCTGGGGTGGGCCTAGAATTCTGCATTTCTAGCAAGTGCCCTAGTAACACTAGATACAGCTGAGGTGGTGACCACATTGGAGCATGAAGGATTGGAGTATGTCATCTAAACGAATAAGAGTCTAAGCCCTTTTAGGTACAGTGCTTGAGAGTAATTGCATTAAATAACAAATGTGGTAAGTTCTGCTGTGGATCAGTGTTTTCTTGGTGATCACTAATGATGGTTTCTAAATTCATTTTCACAGAA